CTTACCTGTATTAAAGAGAAAATCCTAAGAGCACTTACAAAAGATAATCCCAAGTGATGGCGTGTAAAGAAATGTTGAATGTTTAATAAAGAACAATGTTATTGTCAGGGTATTGCATATTCAGCAAATTTATGATATTTTTGAAAGCAAAAATTTTAAGTATTAGCGATTATGTATTTAAAATGAATTTTCAAGTCACTCAAAACAACTTTGAATCATACCCGGCAGAAACTTTTTTAAATATAATCGAAAAGTTCAATTTTTTCAAAGTGATTAATTAAAGTGTAATTATAGTGTCTATATGAGCCACATATGAGTGAGTATATGAAAACTTAGAATATTAATAAAAATTTTAAAATTTAAGGAACTAGCTAGAATACAGATATTTTTAGGGTAAGTCTAATGGAATCTTAATTATTATTTGCAAGTATATCGCAAAAGTTAGAGTAATTTTAAACGCAATTGATTATATTGGTATTAATAACTCTGACAAATGTTGTTTCTAATTATAGGCCGTATTATTACAAATTTAATATTACGATTGATTTTTTCGTATAAAAGTATATAGCATTTTCGTGTGCTAATGAAATAGAACGCAGTACTAACAATTTAAACACTTTCTAACTATATTACAATTGGAAAATATTTTTTCTTCAACAAAAAAAAAAATTAATTTAACTTGATATCAAAACTACAGCATTTCTTCATAACATAATACATAATATGAAAATGAAAATTGCATAAATGAGCACGTTCTTTTTCTTTAAGCACGTCTTCTTTTAATGTTCACCCTGACATAGAAATTTTTTACAAAAAGTTACACTTATTCTTTTTACTATATTCCTTCTCTTGGTGTTTACTTAAAGAATTGAATCATGTCTTATTGAAATCACAAAAAAAAAAATTCTATTATGCGCATTTTATGCAGAAAAGAAAACTATAACGAATTGCTACAGGTGATTTCTTTATTAAACCAATGGAATTTTCATGCTTTTCTAAAATAAAATGAAATAAAAATAATAAAAGGAATCATGTTCCTTTTAAGATTTTCTTTAATTATACTTAAAAAGAAGGAAGAAAAATAAAAATAAAAAGTTTTAAAACTACACTCAAAAACTATACTCTATAGTTCTTTTTCTTTCCCATTTTATTGTTAAAGTTTTCCGTATGAAATTGGAGTATTTTCATTTTGAGATGAAAATTGTAGAACTAATTATAATTCGTGACCTGAAATTAATTTCATTGTATGAAATAATTCTTATATACCACTTTTTCTTAAAAATTTGTTTAATGTGGGTTATTTTTAAAGGTCATTTAATTCGTGCCTTACATAGGGTATTGTGCAACATAATGGCTGAAAGTCCTTAAACCAAAGCGCCATTAAGAATAAGAATCTGTTTGTTTAAAGGTGTAGTTAAATAATTTGAGGTATCTATTTGAAATTTTTAAATGGCGAACAAGTAAAGTTTTGGAGACTTTCCTTTAATTATTTTATAAATGTTTAATCGTTTTTTTTTTTAGTTATCTTAGAATACGCCGCTTACAGGACTTGTCCTGTACAGGACCTTAATCTTGGGATATTAGATGGTAATGCTGTATAACAAATTTATTTGAAATAATTGATAAAAAAGAAATGTGAAAATTTGCTAAAATATTTTGAATCTAGAATTTTGTATGATTTTTGCGCTTAATAAACGCTTCGTTTCTTTCTTGTTTATATCAAATTACCCTGAGATTGGAATTGTATAATAATATTGTATTAATGCAGAATTCAGCTTATAAAAAACAATTGCTGTATTGTGTTTCGATACGGCATTATTATAAAATTCCGATGTTAGGAATAATTGAGGTGCTTAGCACATTAGCGGCCTACTTGAAAAAAGAAACTATGTAAGTATTTTGAAAATATAGAAAATTTCTTTAGACCATTACAGCTCTATTGAACCAAATTAGTCATTTATGTAAAAATGTTTGATAGGCCACTAATGTGTTGTGTGCCTTTATTTTGTTTTCGGTTTTGATATTTAATAGGAATTTTGTTAAAAAAGTTTGCAACAAAACTAATTTTTAGGAGAAAACAATTTACGTGTTCCTCCTTTTTGATTTTTACAGTAATTTATTCTAAGAGTAATATTATTTTTTTAATTACTTCTTTTTGAAACAAAATTGAAAATTATTGAAAACTAAATTCAGGTGCCACATTATTCATTTATAGTTGAAAAGTGCTAAAATACAAAAACAATCTAAAATTTCAGTTCTTTACTGGGGCAATCTTATTTTTTTTTAATTTGCAGATGCACTTCTCATGGCATGCAAAAACATGAAGTAAGAAATTGCAGTCTTTACATTCTGTAATTAAAATAATTATGGGAACTAATATTACAATGACATGTTGCAGTTGACTGTCATATATACTTACATTAAATGCCGTCACAATCGATAAACTAAAGAAATTTAATCCAGTAATTTTAATGGGCTTCGTTGATACCAACATAATTGTGTGTATATGTAAAATTAATGATTTTTTAACTTTATTTGAAATATTCGAAATTAAAAGTACAGTTTCCCAATTACAAGAATAAAATGTTGTACTCATATTTTCTGTCTGAAATTAATTAATTTGAATATTTTCATAACATACATGTACATATGTATAAATGCAAAAACCAAATAAGGATTACCAAATAAATTAATTCTGATCCAATGTAACCAATAACCATTTGTTCTGAAACAGCTCCAAAAGCCCAAAATACAAACATAACCGTAACAATGTTACGGGTATCCTTAAACCAAAAACAAATTTTTTCTTAAAATAGTTACGTAAAAATAATTAATTATTAAGGCCCTTACTTCTGACATGATGAAGACCACAAAACATAAAATTATTGCACTTGATAAAACGAGGCAAAAATATCGAAATGAAAAATTGTCGTTCAGCATTTTCCCAAATCTAAACATAATAGAAATAATAGAATTTATAGAAATAAATTAATGTTGGCGTTGCTTTTATCATGCTCTATAATTAGTTTACTTACAGTTTTAGTTTCTTTTGCTTTTTAAACAATTTTGTTAATCTATTATTCAAGAATTGAAAATTATCGTTGATTAAAGTTTTTCGATCAGAATTTATGTCATCAAATGCAGTTAGAATTTCGTCATTTAAATTTTTAAAACGTGCTATCAAATGTATTAAACATAGACCAATTATATAAGACTCTACTCCAAAAAATGTTGCTGCTGCCATTGTTACCCAAATTACAATTATATATAATATTAATCTTAATAGTTTATCTTCAATTTTTAGTACACCTAATATACGGCTTGGTAATGGTTCACTTTCATAACCCAATATATAATAGGTTATAACCGGTTGTCCAACAAACCATGTATAAGCTAATATATAAGACATATACATAAATTCAACTGGTCTTATCATCATTTTAGTGTAACTATATCCTTTTTCATTGGGTTTGATAAAAATTTCATTATAAAATTTATTTAATAAGATACAGAAATCATTACGACGATATAAAAAATCACAATAACGAAAAAATTTCGCTGTAACAGCAACTTCAATTGTTAAACATTGTAATTTGTAATAGAGTACATTCTCTTCAATTAAATAAAATACTACTCCAGAAATAAAAATACAAAATGATGTTAAACAGCACAATGTCAGTAAATAATATAAAAATTTAAACATCCAATGAATATTTGGCTTTAATGACCAAGAACCACTCATGATTAAAACACGATAAAATCCAGTTATTGCTATGGGCTCACCGGTTTTTGAATCAATCGGTGAGAACATGATCATTCATAAAAATTATTCAAATTTTGTTGAACTGTTCCACAAAATTATCTTTAGAAAATATTCTAATTCCCTCCCCAATTTGGACTGAATCTAATTGAATTTTGACAGCGAATTGTGAACAAACTATTCGTAATTCAAATATTCTACGATATTACTGATTTTTATTAAATTTAACTTTTAATTATTGTTAAAATTGTAAAATCGCAGTGAATAATAATTCTTAAGAAAGCTAGTTTTTATACACCGTCTCAGAACACATTCTTTTATTAATTATATTCGATGGGAAATTCAAAATTATTACCCTGATGTTTTACTGCCTGTACAGCAATTTAATATTGCGAAAACTACATTTTAAATATTAAATAATTATTACGCTATTGCAAAATATTCAAGTACTTCAAAATTACATTAAAAATTTAATGTGTTTTTTTTTAATGTAAAATTAATTCAACAATATTCAGAAACATAATTAAAAATTCAAATAATTATAATACTGCGAAATATTAGTCCTTGAGTAAGCAAAACTTTCAAATTTCAAATTATTATGAGTTAACATACATATGTATGAGTTTTAACTACAGAAAAATTTTAATGACACGATAAATTTTCGAAAAAACAAGCAAAATGAGAAAATTGTTAAAATTTTTTGAATTACGAATTTTATATGACTAGAAAAACCTACCGCAAATCGCACTAAATTCAAATATGTTTGAAAATATTAAAACAAAATTAAAACATGAATTTAATATATATCACCCTACCTACAGAATTTATTTAAAATAGTCAGGAAATTTAAAATTAAAACAGGTTGCCGTTAACTCGTAAAATATGAAAATTTATATCCATATACCGGTCCAGCAATAGCTGTTATTGCAGTTGATTTCAGAAGATCTTAAATTATAATATACATCAGAAAATATAAAAATCTTGGCGCTGTGTACGCTTAGTCGTTTTTCTTTAGCGTCTACATAATGTTCGATAACAGTATGTTTACAGTTTTTGATACGTATTAATTTATTCTAAGTGCAAAGTTGTTTATTTTGTTAATTACTTTTTTTTTTGGAACAGCCATGATCAAATTTGTTCCATTGCTAAAATATTATAAAACGAAATTATCTAAATTTAAATTCAGGTGCCACATTAATCACGTATAGGTGAAAAGTGCTAAAATGCGATTAAACAATGTAAAATTTTAATTTCTTGCTGGGACAATCTTAATTTCTTCTTTAATTTGCAGATGCATTTTTCATGGTATGCAGAAACATGAAATAAGAAATTGCAGTCCTCACATTCTATAATTTAAATGATTATGAATAATTATATCTTGCATAGCAGTTATACTTACATTGAATGCAGTCACAATTGACAAATCAAAGAAATTTAATCCAGTAATTGTGATGGGCTTTGTTGATGCTAACATAATTGTGTATATATGTAAAATTAGTGATTTTTTAACTTTATTTGAAATATTTGAATTTAAAAGTACAGTTTCCCAATTACAAGAATAAAATGTTGTACTCATATTTTCTGTCTGAAATTAATTAATTTAAATATTTACATAATACTTATATATAAATGCAAAAACCAAATAAGGATTACCAAATAAATTAATTCTGATCCAATGTAACCAATAACCATTTGTTCTGAAACAGCTCCAAAAGCCCAAAATACAAACATTACCGTAACAATATTGCGAGTTCCCTTAAACCAAAAACATTTTTTTCTTAAAATAGTTAAAAATAATTATTAACTCCCTTACTTCTGACATGATGAAGACCACAAAACACAAAATTATTGCACTTGATAAAACGAGGCAAAAATATCGAAATGAAAAATTGTCGTTCAGCATTCCCCCAAATCTAAATTAAAATAAAAGTAATTGAATTATAAGAAAATTAATACGGCTTTAATTTACTTGAATTATACTCTAGTACATTTACTTACATTTTCAATTTCTGCTGTTGTTTAAATAATTTTGTTAAGCGATTATTTAAAAATTGCACACCATTTTGAATTGGAATTTTTCCACCAGAATTTATATCATTAAATGTATTTATAATTTCCTCATTTAAATTTTTAAAACGTGCTATCAAATGTATTAAACATAGACCAATTATGTATGATTCAATTCCCATATAAGTTGCTGTTGACATTGTAACCCAAATCACAATCGAATACAGTACAAATCTTAATAATGTTCCTTCAACATTTAGAATTCCCAATATTCGGCGTGGTAATGGTTCACTTTCATAACCCAATATATAATAAGTTACAATTGGCTGAGCAGCAAACCATATATATGCTAATATATAAGATACATACATGAATTCAACTGGCCTTATCATCATTTTAGTGTAGTTATATCCTTTTTCATTGGGTTTTACAAAAATTTCATTATAAAATTTATTTAATAAGATACAAAAATCATTACGTCGATATAAAAAATCACAATAACGAAAAAATTTTGCTGTAACTGCAGCTTCAATTGTTAAACATTGTAATTTGTGATAGAGTACGTTTTCTTCAATTAAATAAAAAATTGCTCCAGAAATAAAAAAACAAAATGATGTTAAACAACATGTTGTAAAAAAATAATATAAAAATTTGAGTATCCAATGAATATTTGGTTTTAATGGCCAAGCACCACTTATAATTAAAACACGATAAAATCCAGTTAATTTTATGGGTTCACCAGTTTTTGAATCAGTCGGTGAAAACATGATCAATTGCAAAAATTATTCAAATATTGTTGGACTGTTCCACAAAATTTTTTTTAGAAAATGTTCTAATTCGTTCCCCAACTTCGATTGAATCTAATTGAATTTTGATAACGAATTGCGAACAAAATATTTAGGCTATACTATTCAAAAACTTCTCTTCTACTCAAGATTAACTGTTCTACATTACCACTATTGGTAATTCAAATTTTCTACGATATTACAGATGTTTTTTAAATTTAACTTTTAATTATTGTTAAAATTGTAAAATCGCACTGAGCAATAATTCTTAAGTTAACTAGTTTTTATACACCGTCTCAGAATACATTCTCTTATAATTTTATATTCGATGGGAATTCAGTATTAATGCCCTGATGTTTTACTGCCTTTGTAGCAATTTAATATTGCAAAAACTACATTTTGATTATTAAATAATTATTACGTTATTGCAAAATATGCAAGTACTTCAAAATTACATTAAAAATTTAATGTGTTTTTTTTAATGTAAAATTAATTCAACAATATTTAGAAACATAATTAAAAATTCAAATAATTATAATACTGCAAAATATTGAGTCCTTGAGCAAGCTAACTAGCAAAATTTCAAATTATTACTACATTATACATAAGTTTTTACGCTTCTTCAACTGCTTGTACTATATGAAGTTTTACCATAATATAATTAACCTTTGCAGTAAGCTATGAGAAATTAATAAGTTCATTAAAATTAATTTATGAAACAAAAAACCTCAAAATAATTGTAAAATTATTTAGTAAAATTAAGAATATTTTTTAAATTCAAATAGAATTTTCATTGATAACATTAATTTTTTTGCATGATTTTTCAATAGCGCCACCGTATAGTAAGGCCAGCCTATAATAAGATCCGAGAAGATAACATTCGAAAGTTTCGCAATACAATACAATTATGTAATGTGACTACATTTTCTTAATGTTTAATACGCCGGAAAATATGTGTGCTTCATTGTGTTACAAACAAATTTGTCAGCTAATAAAGGGTTTCGAAGACCTTCGGGAAAGAATGTTTATAAAAGATATTCCGTACTAAGTAAGGATGAGTTTCCAGTACCGCAACAATTAGAAAATCATTATTATTAAGTAATTAATTATTAGTAAGTAAAAATTGTTTGCAAATTCTATTTCAATTCTACATAGCATACACAGAGCTTTAAATATTACAATATTGTGATCATTAAAAATTAATAATTTTACTTTTTTTTGCGACATTTGCAATTTGCTTAACGTACACTTAGTGAATGTGAGAGCACCGTTTATATTTCACATATAAATATTGTGGTTATCTATCTTAATCCCTTAATTAATAGATGTATTCCTCATTGTGTGTAGAAACATAAAGTAAGAAACGGCAGTTCTTACGTTCTGCAACAAAATATTATTTTTATGTAACACGTATTGTAATAAATACTTACATTAAATGCTGTCACAATTGATAAATCAAAGAAATTCAATCCAGTAATTTTAATGGGTTTTGTTGATGCTATCATTATTGTGTATATATGTAGAAGCAAAGATTTTTTAGCTTTATTTGAAATATTTGAATTTAAAAGTATTGTTTCCCAATTACAAGAATAAAATGTTGTACTCATATTTTCAGTCTAAAATCAAACAAAGTGTTTATTACAAATTTGACACTGACAAATTTTTTAAAAGATGTTCGTGTACTATCAAATCATGCAGTATTGAATTGTTTGTACAAATAAATACAGTAAAAAGCATGCCATCAAAAAACATCGATGGGAGTAAATACAAAAAGATTGCAGGAAGTGTCGCGCTAAGAGTGCGAACTACGTGATCTGCATGACGATGAACAGGTACAAGCAATTAAAAAAGCTTTGAAGAATTAAACAATTATCTAAATTTTATTTAAATGCTTAACAACATTAAGCATTTTTACAATAACAGGAACGCACCAACATAAGGCGATAAAGTTACAACTTTTAAGAGAAGCGGAGAAGATATAAATGTACCTTCTGGCACAATTATGGAGCTTTGATCTGAGAGGAAATGGTATTCTCTTAGACGTTGAATTTTCTTGGCAGAGGAGTTTTAAATTGAAAGTGAAATAAACAAGACACTTTAGTCATGATGTTCAACATCTAACTCATCCGAACTATGGTTCTCAAACTTAGGTATGTACTAGCAAAAAAAAAGTGTGCGAAACATTTTTTTTACCAAATAAATTAGTTCTGATCCAATGTAACCGACTGCAATTTGTTCCGAGATAGCCCCACAAGCCCAAAACACAAACATTAAAGTAACAATATTTCGGGTACCCTTAAAATGAAAGCAGCAATTTGTTTTTAATTAATAGGAACAATTAAAAAATTTTTCTTACTTCTGCCATAATGAAAACAACTAAGCATAAAATTAATGCACTTGATAAGACAATGCAAAAATATCGAAATGAAAAATTGTCGTTCAGCATTCCCCCAAATCTAAATAAAAATAAAAATAATTGAATTAGAAGAAATCTAATATTGCTTTCAGTTACTTGAAACATTCTAGGTTTATGCTTACATTTTTAGTTTCTGCTGTTGTTTAAATAGTTTTGTTAAACGATCATTTAAAAATTGAACACCATTTTCAATTGGAATTTTTCCACCAGAATTTATATCATTAAATGTATTTATAATTTCCTCATTTAAATTTTTAAAACGTGCTATCAAATGTATTAAACATAGACCAGTTATGTATGATTCAATTCCCATATAAGTCGCTGTTGACATTGTTACCCAAATTACAATCGAATACAGTACAAATCTTAATAATGTTCCTTCAATATTTAAAATACCTAATATTCGGCGTGGTAATGGTTCACTTTCATAACCCAATATATAATAAGTTACAATTGGTTGGCCAGCAAACCATATATATGCTAATATATAAGACACATACATAAATTCAACTGGCCTTATCATCATTTTAGTATAACTATATCCTTTTTCATAGGGTTTAATGAAAATGTCATTGTAAAAGTTGTTTAGTAAAATACAGAAATCATAACGACGATATAAAAAATTACAATAACGAAAGAATTTTGCTGTAACAGCAGCTTCAATTGTTAAACATTGTATTTTATAATACAGTATGGTTTCTTTAAATAAATAAAACCCTGCTCCAGAAATAAAAATGAAAAATGATGTTAAACAGCACAATGTCAGTAAATAATAAAAAAATTTTAATATCCAATGAGTATTTGGCTTTAATGGCCAAGAACCACTTATAATCAGAACACGGTAAAATCCAGTTATTGGTATTGGTTCACCAGTTTTTGAATCAGTCGGAGTAAACATGATATTCTCTTAAAAATTATGTGATCTATGTTCTTCTTTTGCTCGAATCTAAATTTTCAAGTGATGGACTATTCTATACTTATAAATAAATTGTTTCTTTAAAGAGAATTAAATCGAACTGAATAAAGATTTTAAGAATGAGATACTATTCATGTTTTAAATTAATTTTCGTGAAGGACGATGAGAATTTTATTTTTAAAACATTGTTGTTTAATTAGACATAAATATTAAAATAAACGCTCCAAAATATTAATAATTTCAATATTTAATTGGGGTAATTATTTTTTTTGTTACAAATACCAACGAATGATGTTCAAGTTTTTTTGGGAATTCCATGTACAGTAATATGAACGCATCTGTTTAATATGCGCACGGTGTATGTGTAATATTAAAATGTTCTATCATGGGAGAACATTTTAATATTACACATACCGCCAAGCCGAGGCGAAGCAATAGGAGGTGTCAAAGGATCAGAAAGCTCTCCAATAAGGCATCTGGTGCGTGGGGGGAGTATAAACGCTTACTCACGATATACACTAGGGAAATAAGGGAAGCGAAAAGATGCTCATGGAGGGCGTTCTGCAAAGGCATAGATGAACTCTCCAGCAATGCTTGTCCTCACAAGGTACTTTCCAAAAAGTGTGCTAGCGGGCTGGCCCTGATAGAATAGTCTGATGGCTGCATGTCCGAGAACGGAAAGCAGACGTTGGAGCTAATGGTCTCAACGCAGTTTCCCGACTCGGAAGCTCTTAGGAATCACTTGAATCCGGTCATTGAATCAGGTAAGCGACCAAGCAACCACTCAAAGTCTTTTCGTCCCTTAGCCTTCCCTCTTTTTTTTTGAGAGCAATGAGAAAGGTGTAGGTATTATAAGGGACGTCGCACTGGGAACTAATCCCTTGATGAGTCTCAGAATGCCTATCAATCAGTAGGAAAATCTACTACGTTCGCTCTGCAGAGGTGGCACCTGGCTGCTTTCTTGATATTGAGGGTGCTTTTGATAAAACTTCACATCATGTCATCTGTGAATCGTTGCACAAACGCGTGATTGATGTGACCGACTATGATTCTATCCCGTAACATCCGACGGTTGGTCGTATGTTACGGATAGAATCATTAAGTCCCCGTAAGTTAACGACACACTTTTCATCTCCGCTGCAAAAGAGTGTCCGCAGGGCGGGGTTCTTTCGCCCCTTCTGTGGTCTATTGTAGTGGATGATCTATACAGCAAAATTTACGTGTTGTGGAAGAGTTGTGCAGATGCGTTGGGTTAAATATGAATTCCAGCCAAACCACTTTGGTTGTTTTCACCAGACGCAGAAGCAGCCTTACTGGAACTGCCTTAGTGCACTTGTGGAATTGGCATCGGTAAACAGAGTAACGCTTATTTCGGTACCTGGACGCAGTGGACATGCTGTCAACGAAGTTGTCGATGGGCTGGTGCCGAGGGGAGACTTTATACAGCCGCTGCATTTCAGTGGTCTGCCTTCCTCCGGCTTGTGGGTTAGGCTCGCCTGCCTGCTCGCGACGAAATGTGGCTCTCACCGGCAGGACACGAAAAGGTGCCGTCAGGTGAAGATGTTTCTTCGTCCATGCTCAAGAAAGATCGCCGTAGAGCTGTTGGGGATTGAGACTATAATTTTAATAAAACACAAAACGGCCCAGAGAAATCCTGTTTAAACGAGCATAAAATTCATAACTTCTTTTGCTTGGATAGGACTGTTAATTTTATTCATATTGAAGCTTAAAGTTAAAAAGCACTTATGTTTGTCATCGAAATTATGTTACTATTATTGCCAGTTGCTAGTAGGAATGAATATCAATGTCTTCATGTATAAAGAGAAATAATAAATTAACACCTACCTATGACGTATTATATTAAAAAAAAAAGTTTTCTTTATTCCGTCGGAGGTGATTAGGTTCTGTCAAAGTATTAAGTTGTGCTAGTTTACCTACCTTTTTATTAGCAACTATTCAAATGAATATCATAATAAAAGTATTGAATTTAATCATTCTTAATTAATTAAACATTTAATTTCTCAGCGTGATGAAAATTTTGTGAAAAAAATTAAATTAGAACTGGATTCCTTCTAAAAAAATTTTACATTTTAAATTGAATTTCTTTTGTATTACAATATTCTGCCAGTCACCAAATTTTTTACCAATTTATTTTCTATAACTATAACCCACATACTATAGCTACTATATTATTATTGAATTCTATTTTATAAAATTTAAAAGAATATTATAAAAGTATTTAAATATAGCATTTAATATAAAATTTGTTTTTTAAAGAAAACCTTTTCTTTCTAAAATCTCTATAGTATTACAGATTGCTCTGGGGTTTGTGTATTTATTTAAAATTTCATAGAAAATTATTTCAATATCAATTTTATTGTGTATATTTATCCAACTGTTTTTTATAGTAATTAAAATTTTTTATTACATCTATGTATATATCTATGTATATATAAAATATATAAATGTATTTTAATTTGAATTTAAAAAACCGAAAAATTTATTTACATTTAATTTATTCTTAATTTAAATCATAACATTTTTTTTTATTATACCCAATCAATTATTTATTATAACCCCAATATTATTTATTTATACATATTAAGGCAAAACACAATATTATTTTAATGATGTGTGTTATATGAAGGGGTTACTTGTATAACATTATTTTGTTATATAGTTATGTACTTAAAAAGTAATTATACTAATTATATTATGGATTTTTTTGTATTTTAAAATAATTTAATTGAATTTTTATTTTTAAAAATTTAAAAACAAAGAAAAAGTAAAACTCATATAATTACTCTAAAGTAATTAAGTATTTTAAATTTAAATTATAAAATTAGTAAATAAACAGTATCAGGTTTTTGTTTATTAAATATAATTAAAAGTATAACAGATGAAAACAGTAAAAATTTAATTGTACTCGTATGTGCAATAAAATTTAAAAATTAAGAACATATGAAAGGTAGATACCTATATTCTAAATGAAAGGTCTGTTTTCATAAGGAATGAAAATTTAAAGAATGTTAGGCCGTATAAAAAATTAAAATTAACAATGTTTTAATTTTTTATACGGCCTAACTTAAAATTAAAATTAACAATTATACGCTATTCTGTTAGACATACATTATTTAAAGTGTAGTGATGTTTTTCAAAATTATAATAATTTTTAAAATAAAATAAAATTTATTAATAAATAAGATATATTGGGTTTTAAGATATATTATTCCAATGTATCGGAAATCGTGTAACAATGCAATTTTGAGTTTGCAACTGTTTAATTGCTTATTTGTATTATGTACGCAAGTATGCGCACGTGCATAATTTTATGAAATTAAGTAATCAAACAGTTTTGTAATTTTCTGCTACCTGATTTTAATTTTTATTTAACGCAATCGATTTGAATTAACGCATTAGTTTAGTTGTTAAGTTTGTAAACGCATTTTTTTAGTTGCTCATCGATTTTACAACCAAGCAATAATTGGAAAACTAAAAATTGTATACCTGCCTGAGGACTAAAATTTGTTTAAATTGAAAATATATAGTGTTATCGATTTCAGTCAAATTGTGATTTAAGTATTTAATCGAAATTTTTACTAGAAAATGAACTAATGAAATTCAAAAATTTTGCTCAACTCCTTTAAAATAAAATTCAAGATAATTAAAATTTTTGCTTAAAATAAAACTGTAAAAAATATTAGACTAATCTTAAATTAATATTCTAATCTTAGTATAATGTGTAGAAAAAAAGAGATTTTCCAACATTTTAAATTAGTTTATCTTTTTATAATGATGGGAACATAAAAATAGTATAGATTTTGTGAATTCAAGTGGCAAGTTGTGACATATACGACAAGGGATATGTGTGTAATGTGCATTTTTCAAAAAAAAATTTATTTTCTCACAAAATTTTATAATTTTTCAAAACGGAACCAAAATCTAATAAAGTTAACTTGAACTTTAACATCTAAAAATATTTATTTTAAAATTTTAAAATTCTAAAACTAATACCTTAAAAATAGAACATAAATATATATACACACGCGAAATCTTACAAATGATTCGAAAATAACAAAAATATAAAGAGTGTCATCTGGTCATACATATTTTTAAAAATGTTTACCATTCTTATAATGATGTTGTGTCACCAAAACGAAAAATAGATAATTTAAAAGATCTTAACCTTAAGTCACAGATCATTGAAGTCAAATATTTGATATATTTTTTATTTTCCACCTATATAGAACTCAAACATCTTTTCCATTATTCTATAAAATCTTAGTTCTTATTTTTTTGGTATTTGTTGTAATTTTTGTGCAACAAGCTGTAAATACTAATATCCTTTTTTATTTTTCGTTTTTTTTTTGTATTTCATGCATCCCTTATTTTCAAACCTTATTTTTGTATATATACGCACACCAACTTTTGTATACATATACATATACTTTAATTCTATATAAAATTAAAGTATAAGATTATAACTTACATGTTATAAAGATATCTATAAATCCTTATGTTAGTAAAAAGGATATAACAGGATTCAATATTATAAAAGATTGTATATGTATTGTAGTATGTATAACACTGTTAAGAGATAAAAAATATTATATTGTATCTGATATAATATTATATAATAAAAGGGAAATATTATATTCTTCACCGTTTTCTGGATTTTAAATTAAATTCAAATAAAGAACACCTTGCGGGTGTTTTTATTAAAAATTTAAAAGCATAAAATTATATTGCTATTCGCAAAATAATATTATAATGTTCAAGTATATTTGTATGTAGGTACGTATATATTTATATTAACATTATATTTGTGTTACAGGTGGATGAATATTATTGTAATGGTGAGAAAACAAAAAAAAAAAATAAGAAAATAACAAATAAAGCAGTAAAATGGAATATTTTAGCACCCCTTTTGTTTTTCCTTTATTGTTCCCATAATTTTCTTATACACTTTTAAATGCATTCTA